TGTCCTGGAACTCACTCTGAGGCCAGGCCGGCCTCAAACTCAGAAATCTGCCTGCCTCTACCTCCTGAACTGGGATTAAAAGCGTGCTCCACCTCCATCTGGCCGGTTTGTGGTATTTTTGCCTCTGACATTATTAAAAATTAACCCTGGATTTTGGGGACATTGTATCTTATAGAGGATACAGAGAGCTCTGTATATAATATCAGGAATAAATTCCCAGCCACAGTATATAAAATATAGAAAAAATACTTCGGTATTTTAAGCAACAAACTCTAGTTGTCTTGAAACGCAATACTATTGCAACAAGATGGAATGCATATTTCTCAAGTGATGATCCAGGTCAACAGTCCCAAGGGACTTCAGTACAAATATGTGTCAAGACAAGTGAGCACCCATGGACTACTCCTTTCATGGGTTCTGAACACCTACCTCCCCAACATAGGGTGTTCCGTACAGACACTGGATCCCTGTTTCAGGCACTAGGGGGTGAGAGGGAGGGGAAGGAGGGGAGGAGGAGGAAGAGAAGGGGGTGGGAATAAAATGGCATGGCTTCTCTAAGCTTCATCTTTCCTAAATTCAGAAAATAAATCTCAAATAGTGAGACTGAAGTTTAACTTTCCCCCTGAGCCTGCAGCGGCGCATGTGCACCACAACTACAGGAGTCCAGCTCAAAATTTCCGAGCATCCGCCAGCATGATAAGTGTGCAATTAATGCTCGCAGCGAATGGGGAACAAGTGCACCCTGCCTGCCCTGAGGGGTTATTCGGAACCCTGTCTCCTTATTAGTATTTACATTCCCTTACCCTGCCAAGCATTGTCATTGGCCTATTGCCAAGTTGGTTTTCATTATTCAGTAACCACTAGATGGCACAAAAGGAAAAGGCTTTAGCATTAAAAGAAGGCACTCCCATTGGAGAGGCTGGCCATAATGTGTGGAAAATGTGGAGGAAAGCAGGCATCCTGGTGTTAATTAGAAAAAAAAATGGTAGGCTGTATTCTACCTCAAACATTGCAGGAAGTAGGCCTACCAGAAGGGATGGTTGTAGAATGAAACTTTTTGTTTGTTTGTTTGGTTGGTTTGTATGTATATAACTTATTTTATGTTCATTGGTGTTTTGCCTGCAAGTATGTCTGTGTGAGGGTTTCAGAAGCCCTGGAACTGAAGTTACAAGCAGATGTGGGTGTTTGGAATTGGACCTAGGGTCCTCTGGAAGAGAAACCACTGTTCTTCACTACTAAGCCATCTCTCCAGCACCCACACACACCATAAAATGAAGCTTAAGCGGAGATAGAACAATGAGACAACCAGAACAAGAGGAACAGAAGTCTATGCTGGTGGCACTAAAAATCTGAAGCCAGAAGCAACATTCTTAACCAAAATATTGTAGGATACCAAGTGTACAACCAGCACAATTGGATTGATGAAAAAAGAGAGCCAGGCCAGATTTATCATCATAGCCAAAGGAGTCTAGAATTGGTGGGGAAACCCCACTCACAAGAGCAGAGTGGTCACATAGACATGATCTAATATAGACCACATTATATGCAGTTTTTAGCCAATTTTAACAAGTCTCCATGCATCTGTTTAAAGGTGCCAAAGTGACCCTACATAATTGGTCCATGGAGACACCTGAGTCTTGGACATTCAAATTAAGAAGCTGGGTTTTAGTGTGGGCAAAAGAACATGATGGGCTGGTGCAGACTTTTTTTTTTTTTTAAGCCTGGCTTCAGCCTGGGCCATTACATGTGATTGACAGATTGACAGTCCCACTTCCTCGGTTCCTGTGCTCACCAAGAAACTTCCTGAAGGCAGATGGATTTTTCTATAGATCTGCCCTCAGTAAGAAGACAAACCCTAGCCCTTCCAGAGTGGCGCCAGGAGTTCAATATATTGGCATTCTATTTTCAACACCCATCTCCTATGAGCTTGGTAAATGGGAATTGTCACCAGGAAAAGGACTGTCTCTTAACAAAATTAATTCTCTGAATCAATTGAACAGTTTTGAACTGTATATTGAACACATCCTGGAGTATCTCTTGTCGGATATTCAAGGTCCGTTTGACCATTTCCCTCATTTTCTGCTTTCATATCCACGCATTCAAGTACCAACCAGACCCCACCCTGCTTCGCTTCTAAGATTAGATGAGATTGGGCACATTCAGAGTGATACAATCATTGATTTACTTTCATATTTTATGCTTAAGACTCCAACATACTTGCATAGCAAAAAAGCAATGAAGACTTCTATTAATGCAGAATCCAACACCCAAGTCCCAAAGCTCCTCACCAGATCTATCTTGGTTAGATACAGGTATCTGCATTAATAAGAAGCCAGGGGCATCCAAGCAGGCTGACCCCCAAACCTACAGCATACAAGAAACATTCATCCTGAGTCCAGGAACACACCATCATAGAATATTTTATTTGGGAAAAAGATCTCCAGAGAATTAAAATTGACCCTCTAAAACATTCCTGAATTCTCAGGTTACTGTGGAAGATAGGTGTAAATGGGTGTGGCAGAAGCTGTCAATTAGAGCTTAATTTAAGATGCTAAAACAAAACAAAGAACCTACCAACCTCAACCTCTGGTTGGAGAAAGGATAGAGAAATTGATGTACTGTACAACCAAAGCTACACACTAAAAACCAAGAAAAAATGAGTTGTGGGAATGTAGTAAGTTAGCTTTTACCATAGCAATGAAAGGTCTCATAGTAGCAGCTTAAGAAAGAGTCCATTTTGGCTCATGGATTTGGAGGGTTCAGTGCATCATGGCAAAGAAGGTATGGCAGAGTAGAGAAGTTCATACCGTGGTTCATAAAGCAGGGGACAGGGAAATGCTAGCACCAAGCTCCTTTTTCCTTTTCTTCTGTTCAGACCGCTAGCCTGTTGGGTGGTACCACCCATATTCAATGTCTGTCTCCATTCTGGGTCAATCTTTTCTAGAAACTCTCTCACAGACACCCCTAAATGTACTCGTCTGATCTCCGAGGTGATTCTAAATCTAGTCAAGCTGACAATGAAGATGTGCTATTACAGAAGCCCAATACAAAATTTTAATTTATTGATAATTTCAAGGTGGCAACAGCAGAACATTCTGAGCATAGGGTCCTGTGCATCTGTGTAAATCATAAGAAAATGAAGATGGGTCTGTTGGCATTATGGGACAAGACTACAAGTAAGGTAGGAAAAATTTATAGACAAAAAAATAATTTATTCAAATTCATATGACCTTCCTTTCAACTTGCATGCCCTCTTGCAGCCAACGTGGTCTCTTCAAAATGCAGACAGGATCTTGTTACTTCCTGATGAGAACCCCAATGGTGCCCTTGCTCTGGGGCCAAGCCTGCAGTCCTTACTGTAGCCCCAAAGCCACCCATCTCCTGCGCTCTTCTTTCTTTCTCATTGCTTGAGTTACACACCTCTGTTTCCATTCTTGTAATTTTCCAGACTTTTTTCTTCTCAGATCTTCCACATGCTTTATTTTCTGTAACCAGAAGAATCACTCCTACCTGTCCTAGCTAGATAAATTTTACCCTTCAGGTCACGAGCTAAATACTGCTTCCTTATTAGCCATTTGAAAATTACATTTTTAGTTAGCCTGTTTATTTTGTAGATGGAAGACATGTGCCGCCACACAGTCTTGCTCCAGGTAGCCCGAGGACATCTTTTGGAAGTTTGTTTTCTCCTTCAACCATGTAGGTCCTAGGAATGAAGACTCAGGACACCAGGTTTAGTGGCAGACTCCTTTATCTGGTGAACCTTCTAATTGGTTCTGTTTATGGAACTGTTTTAACCCATCCTGGGACTTTATACATGTATTTCTGCCCTTCAGTTTTTAAATTTTAAGCCTTATTTTATTTTTAACTATGTATATATGTGTGTGCCTGTGTGTGAGTATGTACACATTAAGTGCAAGTGCCCTCAGAGCCGTAGACATTAGATTTCCCTAAGCCAGAATTACAGGCAGCTGTGAGTCACTCAGTGTGAGTGTTGGGAACTGAATTCAACCCCTCTCTGCAAGAGCAGCAAGTGCTCTTAACTGCTGCGTGGTGATTCCAGCCCACCTCACCATCCTTAAATGATGATTTATGCAGTGAATCATGTAACATCTGTCTCTCTGCAGGACTATCTTATCTTTACTACAGCCTCCCTGATGTTTAGTGAAGACCATGAGTCATAGGAGGTACTTACTTGAAAAGATATTTGGATTGATGAGTGGAAAGAGAAAAATGAAAGAGAGTGAATGTTTCCGTTCCTGTTCTATTTCTCTGATCATGACCAAGGTAGCTTATAGAACACAGCATTTAATTGGGGTAAGAGTTTCAGAGGGTCAAGTCGTGGCAGGAGTGCAAAGGCATGGTGGCAGGGACAACTGGGAGTTCACGTTCTGACCCACAAGCAAGAAGCAGACAGAGGCACACTTGGAATGGCTTGAGGCTTTTGAACCTTCAAAACCAATTCCCAGTGAGGTACCTCTTCCAACAGTTCTACCAAGGGGAGACCAAGTGTTCAAACACAGGAGCTTCTGGGCGCCATTCTTACTCCAAACCACCACGGTGAATTTACCAGATGCTGGTACACTCCTCCTGATTAAAAAGGCTTATCTAAACCCCAAAGGCCTGGCTCTCCAACCCACTCCAAGCTTGGCACTAAGCTTCCGTTAGGTGAAGACTAACGATGCAACCCTACTTCATAGTCTTCCGGGGCAGTCCAGGTTTGTGACTGTTGTCTTGGTGTGTACTCCTTAGCAGCGCTTGGGTTAAGGTGGCTCTCCCTCTCCGTCCTGCACTCCTCTCTCCAGTGTTGGCGGCTGCGGTATTAACAGAAAGAGCTTAAGTTATTAAACTGAGCAGCTCTAATCCCCGAGGTTTCCTGGAGCAGCGGGGATTATTGTATTTTTATTCCAGAGTCAATGCAGCCTTTGTGTCGGCTCCCTGCGATTCCCAAACTGACCCCAAATGCCTTTCTCTAGACACACTCCCCCGCCGGGCGAGAGGTGATGGAGTTTTACCTGGAGATCGACCCTGTCACCTTGAACCTCATTATCCTAGTTGCAAGCTACGTCATCCTCCTCTTGGTGTTCCTCATCTCCTGCGTGCTGTATGACTGCCGAGGCAAGGATCCCAGTAAGGAGTATGCCCCCGAGACCACACTGAATGCCCAGCCGTCTATCCGAGTGGTGGTGACACAGCACAGTGCTCATGGGACCTGGGCAAGAGGACCCAGTCTTCACTTTAAAGATCCTGCTCCAATAGGGAAGAAGAGCACCGTGGTGTGAGACTGGGAAGAGATGGTAGAGAGAGACCAACAGATGCAGCAGAAAACAACGGTCACTACCGTGGCTCCGGTTCTCCCCAAATGCGGGTCCTGACTGGATGAGGAAACCGGGGCTCTGTCTTACTATCTGCCCTCTGGTCACTCTCTTCGTGAACTGAGCAACTGTTTAAGGTAAGATTCCCCAATGGTCTCCGGCTGTGTTCTCCAAATGTAAGATCGGAGCAGTACCATTTTCTAGTGAAGCTGGTTACTCATACCTTCCTGCTAGGTGGGGCCGACGATGCATAAGGCTTGAAAGACGCGTGACGTATGAGGGATGGAATAAATAACGAAATTAATTCAAGTCTGTACTTTACAACTCCATTATTTCCAAGCAATCACATTTGTACACTCGGACTTCAGGTTGTTATTCTTGTGCATAACAGCTCATCACACTCCGCTCCCCCTCCAGTCACAACTGGGTAACCAAGGCTGGGTTAGGCTACCTCTTCATACCACAGGCCTAGCGATGGGTCTTTGAACATATCAGTTTCCAAGGAATCCGTTCACTAAAACTACTTGAGACAATGTTTGACCATTAGTCTTGCTGTGGTGAATGTTGACTTTGTTCCTACGTGTACTCCTCACCAGAAAGGTGGATCTCTGGGGACTGGACAGATAGCTCATTCAGGAAAATGCTAACTACAAGAGAATGAACATCTGAGTTCAGATCCCAAGTACTAACACACACACACACACACACAAACACACACACACACACACACAAATGGGTGTAGTGGCATGTGCCTGTAAACACAGAGACAGATGGATTTGTGTCTCTGACATGGTCATCACCTTCTCTAGCTGAATCAGAGAGCTCCAGGCTCAGTGAGAAACCCTATCTCAAAAAGTAAAATGGAAACCATTAGAAGAAGATGCCCAACCTCTGGCCTCCACACACAAGCCCATACACATGCATATATACCTACGCATGTATAAATACATGCACACACAGGCACACAATGTTTTACCCCTAATCTTCAACTCTGACCTGATTTAATACAAACTTATTGCAGAGTTATTAAAAAAAAAAAAAGTCCGAGGTCTTAAAGCTTTGTGTTCTAATCCTCTGGAGAGAACCCACGGCCTTCTTTCTCCTCCCATAGTTGTTGCTGACTAATAACTTTTTTTTCTTCTGCTCATTCCTTCACCTGTTTTTACACGCTTACATCAATATCTCCTTTGTTCATGGATGTGTTATGCCTCCCCTCCCTTACAGATCTGCTTGGTGGTTTACTGAACCTTTCTTCCCGTGAGGACCTGTGTGGAATGCAAAGAAGTGTGTCATGAGCCCCTGCTCTGTGACCGCCAACCTTTGCTGTCTGACAGGCGGAAGAAGAGTCACACATGACCCAGATAGAGAGTAGAAAGAGCATTTGTGCATGCTCTGCCAGAGTCTGTATAGGCTGCGGGAGTGGAGAAGGCGTTTGCTGTCTCGACTCGGACATCAAAGAGAGATGATTCCACTCGTAAAATAAATAGCTTTTTTTGCTGGGGAGTGAAAGTGTGTTGGGAACATAGGAGGTGGCATTTTATGTATACGGAATGGCTAAGACAAAGCTCAGAAGCGAAAAAATTATAGAAGCCATTGACCGTGGAAGTCTGGTGTCTTCCGGAACTATGGAAAAAAAACTGAAAAAATTATAGTATCTGTGAGGGAAGAGGAGAGCCTGGCCCATGCTGCCCTGCCAGATTCAATCTGAGTCTTGTTTTGTCTTTACATTGCTGAGGTGGCTGTAAAAAATATGAAGACAAATTGCTACCCTGACATACATATTTTGAAAATTATGTTGAAAATATACAGAAGGATTTTTCTGATGTCTGGTCAAATAGCAATCTCCATTCTTAAACTGTAAATGTAAAACATGACTGTATGGTATAGAAAACTCACACGCTATTCTCGAAATTCCTCTTTTCATACTGATGGCCTTCTTTCTGTACCCTTTGTCAGTGGATGCAAAATACATCACTAGAGGAAAAGTCAATGAGCCATCAAAAATTAATGCTAGCAATGTTAATTAATTTAGCATTTGACAGACATAAACTCATCTAATAAGAGTATCCAGAATATTCTTAATTAAGAATTAAGAATATGAAATAAGCATTCACTTAAAAATGGTTACTTGGCCGTTGTGTTCCGATTCCATATTTGGGCCAATTTAAGAGGGGAAAAGTAGGTGCTGGAGAGATGACTCGGGAGTTAGAGGTACTTGCTGCCTTTAGAAACAGAGTTTGGTTCCAAACTCCAGTGTTGGGCAGCTGACAAATGCTTGTGACTCCAGCTGCAGAAGATGTGATTCTCTGCTATAACCAGAGAGGGTATCTGCCACACACACACACACACACACACACACACACACACACACACACACATGCACGGATGCACGCATGCACGCACGCACAAATGACAAATCTTTTTTTTTAAAAAAGGGAAATTAACAAAGATGAGGAAAAATATGTCATAAGAAAAAGAAAACAAAATCAAATAATAATAACAATATTACTAATAACTACCACCATGAAAGAAAATAAAGACAGAGGAGAAAGAGAAAGGAAACCAGAAAGCAAACTACAGGCAAACTAAGGTTGGAATAGTGGTAGTGAATAGGTGCCCCCACCCCCGGTGAGATGATTTATAGTTTATTCAATCTGGCTCTCTAAACAGGAATCTGAAGAGTCCAAGAATAAGAAAATAAAAATGTAGATTCAAAAAATAAGAATGTAAGAATAAAGAAATATAAAGTTTTAAGTCTAGGAGAATGAGAGCAGACTGTCAGCAGCTTGCTCAGCAGATCAAGGATCAGTCATTCACAGTGAGCTATTTTCTCGGGTGCTTGGGAAGCCTTCATCAGCTTACGTCATTTCATTTTACAACTGGCTGTTTTATTTACAAGGCCAGAGCTTCTCCCTGCAAATTGAGAGTAGTGTCCTGGCCATCCCTGATAAATGACATATGTGAACTAAGTTAACCTTCAGGAGACAGAGATATGTGACCTCTGGGTTAGACACTGTCTCCGTTACGGAAAACTGGTGCCACCAAAGGGGAGGCATGGGACTCCAGTATACACCGGGAGGTACCAGGAGACAGTGGACAAATACAATGGTTTAATTAATGAGCTCTGGAAGTTGTTAAGTATGACAGTCAATATCTGAGTTTTACCTTGAGATAATGTGAAAAGCTTTCTGCTATCTCCTAAGTTCTCAGCCTAAGAACCAATTAATCCTAATTTCTTAACCTTCTAGTATTACTAGCAGTCCTTTTTCTGACTCTTGCTAAAGACATCTGTTTTCTTGTAATCAGTGACTTTTGTTGTGATCAACTCTGAAACATATTTCATGATAGCAGCCTAGTTACCCATTGAGGTTAGAACTCACTCCCCTCCCTAGGGTCTCCATTGACTGACCCACAGGTCAGGGTAAGATCGTAAAAATTCCTTTGTTCAGACCTAATGCTTGGTGCCCTAACTATAAAAGGTGGGGTCAAAAACGGGTCTTTTGCCACAGCCTAACAAACACCATCTCTGGCTGTGGTCTCAGCTAGCTGATAAGCTTCTGTGCCCCGTGGTGTTTTTTGTTTGTTTGTTTGTTTGTTGTTGTTAAATTTATTTTTAAGTTTGCTTCTGGTTTTCCCAGGATTGGGTTTCTGGAATAAAGTTTGCTTCTGGTTTATTAAACTTAGTGGTGTTCTCATCTTTGTGTGACCCCCCCTGGACCCAACAGAACCAATTTCAGAATTAAAAACATATGTATTTTCTCTGATATCTTGGTCTGTTTGCTATGACTACAGCTCAGTACCATAGGTCATGTAACTTATAAAGAGGAGAGGGTCCCTTGATTCATGATCCTGCAGACTTGGAAAGTCCAAGAGTATGATGCTAGTTCAGGGGCCTGTGAACATATTGTAACACAGCAGAGAATGTTGCCTGAATGTCTTTTCTTTCTTCTTTAAAGCAACCTAACTTGCTTTTCTCATAGCAGTCCTGCTCTTTGCGATTCCTAACAGCATGGACCTGAGCAGCTCCCGTGAATGCCCAGTGTGCTCAGAGATCACAATGACCAAAACCCACTGCGAAGAATTTCACGCAAAAAAAAAAAAACAAAAAACAAAATCCCAGAAACCTATTTTCAAGTATTCAATGTGTCACAATGGTCACGTGGTTTATGAAGTCACTAGCACTATGATAAGAACTCCCACTTCAGCTAACCCTAAGTTTCATGCCTCCACATACCGTTAATGTATAAAATCAGAGCTAAATTTCCAGCACATGAACTTTGTGTATCTGCCCCCGACTGCCATGCTCACACGTGAACTTGTGTGTATATGCCTCCCACTGCCTTGCTCACACATAAACTTGTGTGTATATGCTCCCACCATGCTCAAACCACAGCAGTCAGGAAGGAAGGAAACCAAGAAAGCACAGGAAGTCTCCAGCAGCCTTTGACCTCGAACTGGACCTAAGATCTATCACTTTTCTCTACCTTGACCCTTCATGCTCTTTCTCTAACATTGTCCTGCTTGCATTTCAAACCCTAGGAAATAATTTTTTTTAGTTACTCTTTATTTTTATTTTCCATGAATGGGTGTTTTGTCCACGTGTATGTATGTATGCATGCAGTGCCCATAGAGGCCACAAGGGGCCGTTGGATTCCCAAGGCCTGTAGTTAGATTGTTGTGGATGTTGGGAATTGAACCTGGGTCCTGTGGAAGAGCAGCCAGGGCTTTTAACCACTGAGCCATCTCTCCAGCCTCACAGCTTCTTATTTTTAATTAAAACTATCTCCTAGAGGAATTAGTCTCACAGCTGTGAGCTTCTTAGGCTTTATAAATTTATCACTGAAACCCAGGGGGTTGGATTGCCAAGCAGAAGAAACATTCGACTCCCCTGACCTTCAAATACTCTCTTATTTTTGTTTCTTTGTGGGATTAGCACTTTTTTGGTTCGCATTATTTTAATTTGTTAC